AACTGAGGTGGATATCCACGCTTCAGTAAAGTATCTTTGAGGCAGCCTAATTTTGCGTCCAAAATATCCCCGGAACAGATTTTTCTAGTCCTCTGGAAATTATTATTATTATTGTTCCGATCAAGCGCCCAATCCAAGAAGTCGGCGATCTCTTCCATATATTAAAAACGTATCTGAACTCGTTCAAAGGCACCTGAGAAATTATCAAATGCAGGTGGCGCACAAACCTACGGCCACACTACAGAACCACCTTGTACACCTTATCTAGAAAAGGGTTCGTTTTCAAAATTTCTTGCGGTGACTGCGATGAAATTTATTGTGAACAAACACGAAAGTCCGCCTCTTTACCCTTATATGAGCAGCAATTAGCGGTAAACAAGCGCGACCATCTGTCCATGCATTCCCTGGAAACTAGGCACAATTTTGTATGGGATAAGGCCCGAATATAATGTTCCTGTGAATACAATAAAGGTCGCGAATATTCAGCGTCCACTATCTCTAACGAATCATACATGGATAGGCACGTTGAATCAGATTTGATTTACATCAAACTCAAATAGGCCTGGAAAAGGCGTCAAACATCGCAGCCCTTTATTGACCAAGGAAAACAAAATAAGTATTTTCTTTTTGGGTATGTTAAAAATACACCCTGTCCTGTAACATTTTCCGCCTGTCTGACGATGTCTTTGTGTGCCAGAGTTGGAAATGTACGAATAAAAGTTTTTTTTCTCGTTTCCCAAAGAATTGGTTCTACAAAATTATATTTCTTGAGGGGAAAATTTTCAAATTCGTTCGAAAAATAACTATAGTCCTCTCGGCTTTCTTGGCACCTCACATCACGGTGCGTAGATCAAAAATGTTTAATAAACTGAGCATATGTTCAGAGAACGACCATGATGGGCTAACACAGGTACGGCTGGGGTGTATTTCGAAGGAGTAACGCGGGCGATGGCCTGGATTTATGGTAGGCAGATAGGTAAAGGCAATGTACATAACTTCGAATTAATGTGCTTCTAAAGGAAAATCGTCTGCTTACATATAATTCACCTTCTTTCGTCGCAACTTATGCGTTGCTTCTATTCCATATCCAGTAGGCGTTCATTGATATGCTTTGTAGATTTCCTTACTCATGAAAGTTACGTTGAATAGT